GGGGTTGCTATAATTTAGTAATGTCAAATTTAGTACTAGTTTTTCTCTACCTATTTCATGACGGATGGAACTCATTTGGCATTTAAGGAAATAGAGGAGTAGTTAACTTTTGTCCTATTGAAGTATAAAAGTTGCTGAAGATGGGGTTGTGGTGGTGGTAATAATATTAAATGAACAGATATATAACATGTGAACAGATTGACAAATAGATAGGGGTTATATGATATTTTTAATTATTTTTTGTTCTTAAAACTTGAAAAGATTAGAACTTGGAACTAGTCCTCGAAAAATTCAAAACATTGAGGATTATGCCATGTCAAAATTCAAAAATATATCATTATGCTTTTGAAGATTCTGACATGTCAAAATATTGGTTTGAAATTGCATAATAAATGTTAAAAACTTCATAAACAATGAGAAAAAGTGTTATCCTGCTATTACACCCTTGCACGATCAATTAACATATTCTTTTATTTATTTGAAAAAAAAAAAAAACTTGGCGTTTAAGTCCTATAACAAAATAAATCCTAAACTTTTATTTCATTAATTTAAACTATAATCTTTTAATTTGATTTTAATTTAAATCATTTGTCTATTTCTATTGATTAAAATTGGCGAAAAAATAGTTTGTCATACTCAATACAAGTATGTGAAAAATGTCTAAAATATCATTTTTTAGGGGGACTTAAGTGTAGGTCTTAGTAGGTGGACTTATTATTCAATATATCCTGTGATAATGAACGACATTTTTTATTAAACACTATTAAAAAAGTCACTAATTGTTAATTTTCAATGACAGTTTGAAAATTTTGTCACAAAAAAGGTCATTAATTATGCTTGTTAGCGATAATTTAAAAAAATCGTCATAAAAAAAGCTACTTACTATTTTTCAACTTTCAACAATAATTTAGAAAATTTGTCACATAAAAAAGTCACTAATTGTCAATTTTTAGCGACATATACAAAAAATTGTAGCAAAAAATTATTTTGAGCGACGATTTTACTTTTTGGCGACGATTTTACTAGGACTTACTTTTTATAGGGCTTCTTTATGGGAATTAAGTCCAACTATTAGGACCTATTGACAGTTTACCCTTTTTTGTATTGAATTTAATGACTAAAATACTCTTTTTTCATACATTTTGCTTAACAAAAATAGACAAATTATTTAAAATAAAAACAAATCTAAAAATTAGGATTTAAATTAATAAAAATAAAAATTCAGGTTCATTTTGTTATAAAGTTGAAACTTTGGATTTTTTTTTTCCTCCTATTTATTTATTTGGTCTGAGGTTTACGCATTCAAGATGCTTTAAAAATTACCCATTTTAAAAAGAATAATGCTTGGGACCCCCTTTTGGGGGTCACCCCCTCACCCCCTTTGCTACGTGGCAGTGGGTGATTGGAGGAGCAGGAAAAAAAAGAAAAAGAAAAAGAAAATGTAACCAATGAGAGAGAGAGGGGGTCAAAGAGGGTGGGAGGAAAAGGGGGATGAATCATTGTTGTTTTAAAAATGGATTTTGTCAACTAGGGTGCTTAGATCATTGGTTGGCAAAGTCTTAAATAATTATGAATTCCTCAACTACTTATTTTTATGAGAAAATGACGTAGCGCAATATACGGCGATTAGATATCGTTCTAGTAGATGAAAGAGATTTTTAACTTTACGAGAAAAATAGAATATTGAATCTACAAATATTATTGATTGAATACATCCATTACATATGCTTGTAAGCTAATTTATAATAAACTAAACCTAATACTTGTAGGAAAAGTAATTCTAAATAAATTAGGAAACTTAAATCAACATAAGAAAATCTAAGAGAATATGAAATTAAAATTCTAAACTATTTAAAATCCTAATCAAAATTTAATTCCAAAATAATAAAATTAATAAATAATATATCAAAAATATTAAAATAAAAACATAAAAATTCTTAAAATTCTATCCTACCTCAGAAAATGTACAATTATGTTGTGTTCAATTTTCTATAGAGGAAATAAAGAGTGCTTCCTTTGTTTTGTTCTTCTACTTGCCAACAACAAACCACTCTTGTATAAGGAGTTGGAGTCACTATTGTGCGGTTTGTACAGTACTGATTGTTGTATAGTTAATGAGAATTATTTTGAACTTTATTTTTATTATCCGAACTATTCAATTTTTAAAGAATATTGAGTAGAACATATTTGTAAAAAATCAAATTAATCGGATATCAATAGAACTTTCATCAACTCAAATTTGTATATATAAAAAAATAAATATATATGCATTAAACTAAATACAAATGTGAGTTGATGAGGGATCTATCAATATCTGATCAACTTGATTTTTTATAAATATATTCTACTCAATATTTTTTAAAAATTGAACAATTTAAATAATAAAAATAAAGTCCAAAATAATTGTTACGAGTCATATAATAGTCATTGCTATGCAAGCCGCATAGCAATGACTCCAACTCCATTGTATAAACGATTGCCTTAATTAAACCATTCTCCATACAAGTCCTGGAATTCTCGTTTTTCAACCCCCGAAAAAAATTTCTACTATTTTTTTTATAAATAGATTTTTTTTTTTTAGTTCCAAATTTGGATTGGAGGCTTGTTTTTCTTGTTTGATAATCCGAACTATTTTGTTTGGAGGAAGTTTCTTGTATATTATTCATACACAGAAAATTAGTTTTACTCGATAATCGTAACATATTTAATTTATTACGTTTGTTATAAAAAAAAAATAGACGGTAGGTGTATTTTTGAAAATACTATATTTATATATAATTTTGTGACATGCTATAAATTGAACATGTTACAATTATCAGAACGATCTAATTTTTGTGTGTGAATGATATATATATAAAATCTTACAAAATAAACTATTCATATTATCGAAATGGGACTCGTGCTGAGTTTCATGGGCTTGAATAATACCCTCCTATCTAAATTTGCAACTGAACCGAAAGCCTATTAACTTTTTTTTTTTTGGCCAAATATGTAATATAACTTATGCATGCTATGAATAAATAAGGGAAAATTATGCAAATAGTCAATGTATTTTACACGATGTGTCAATTTGGTCTCTATAGTTTCAATTTGCTCGATTTTGTCCCTTAATTTAACGGAAAGTCAAATAATGTGTCAATTTGGTCCTTGTATTTTTCACAATGTGTCAATTTAATCCCTATCAAAATCGAGAAAATTAAAACTACATGGACCAAATTGACATGTCGTGTAAAGTACGGGGACCAAATTGACACATTATTTGACTTTCTATTAAATTAATTTAACAACCGTTATTTATTAGACTAAAATGACACAATCCGTTATATTAAGGAGCAAAATCGAGCAAATTGAAACTACAGGAACCAAATTGACACATTGTGTAAAGTACAGAGACTATTTACATAATTTACCCAATAAATAAAGAATTACAAAATATACTAAGGCTTTGGTTGGATGAATGCAAATTTCAGATCAAGAAATTTGAGGTTGAATTTTATAAAAATATTGAGCACCTATTGTAGGTGCATAGAAAAATTAGGAGAGATTTACTTTTTTTAGGTGGATTTCAAATGTCCACTTTTATATAAGTATTTTAAATGCATCCTAATAAAAACTCTTTAATATAATCTTCAAATACTTAAGTAAATTATCAAATCTGAACTAGAGTTCTTCTTCATCATTTCCGTTAAATAATATCAAATTCATACATTTAAATTGATAAATACAAACGAATGCTAAGTGTGTCAATTGTCATTGAAGGGGTAGGCATTGGGTTTTGTTTAAAAAACTAGCTTATTGGCTAAAACAAAGGAAACAAAAAAAATTAATTCATAGCTTTTTTTACTATAGTTTCTTTTTTTTATTTTTTACTTTTATATAATAAGAGGAACAATGCAAACTACAAAGGAACTCTCAATTATCTTAAAAACTCTATCAAATCAGAAGTCGAGTAAAACAATTTCTCATTGGATACAAAAAGGAACTCATCATTATTTTTACATTATCTCTTTCATTCTCCTCATTTGTTTCAATTTCTGATTTACAAAATTGAAAAGAAAAAAAAAAAAAAATACAAAACCAGGAATTTTTTTTTTTTTAAAAAAAAATATCTAGAATGTTGTGTTTACAACATTGTATTTATTTTGAACAGAGCTCACATTACAACTCACCATCATATTATCTTATTATAATTTGTATACATTCTAATATGTCATTAGTTTAATAGATTTCATAAATCATGTTTCTTATCAATACAACACATCACATAATACATAAAATATAATATAAAAAAATATAGTCAATCATAATAAGAGTAAGAAACACCAGTATCATATTTTCTAATTATTTCAGTGGTTGATGAGATTGGTCAGAAATTGCATCACATGATCATCAACCTATCAGAAGGTAGCCACAATTGACTCTCATTTCTTAGAATTAGCTTCTGATTATTAATGCGAATCACTCTCATTTAATAACAAATTAAAAACATGTTTAACATGAGGGAAAAAAAAGATATTGATGTAATTACTCATACAAATGCATTAAAATAAAAAATGTAAAAAAAAACTCCTAGAAAATGCAGGAAATAAAAGGAAAAATAAAATACTGATGATGATGGTGATGGTAAATCAAACTATTGAATCAACAATTGTGGCAAATCAAAGAGCTTAAACTGTTAAAAAAATTAGCTCAACAATGTAGGTTAAGCTAATAACCTCTCACGTGCGAGTTCATCTTACATGTGTGAGGCAAACAGACTGAGAGAATGAAATATACAAAAGACAAACAAAACAAAGTATTGAACCAATACCATGTTGAATCCTCAAAAACTTAAATCGCTAAGAAATAGATTCAACAATGTATATCAAGTTCAAAAGCCGAATACCCAATTAAGAAAGCAAAGAAAATGAATAACACGAATAACCATTTTACTAGTTTCATATTTTCTTAAGAAACTATATGCACACACCTTTATACTTTTTTCCTTTCTTTTCTTTTGTTTAGCAAGAATCATTCATTAAACCCAAATACTTCTTCAACTCACTAGGAAAACAAGGGTAACGCCTCCATGAATTCACATTTAACTTCAAGATCTTCACCACCTTGTTCTTTGTCGACGACCGCCCACCGATATGCAACAATGCCACCAGCTTTTTCACAGCACCAAACATCAACATTTCCTCCACAACCCTCTCTGTGTGATGAAAACTACAGATCAACCACAAGATCTTCACTCCAATCTTTGTCGCGACATCTGACACGTGTAACATTTTTTTTGACACCGCAGCGATGCCTAGACCGTGCTCAATAAAAGCCAATCTCCCTTCAGCACATTCACAAAGTAATTTGATTAACTGCATAATTTTCTCACATTTGGATCGGTTGGAATCAGGAAGAAGATCAATGAGAACACATATGGCACCGGCTTCGATTGCTTTTAGTCTGCTTTTTTTGGATGAACTCAGAATCTCTATAAGAACTTGTAAAGAACACGAACTTGCTTTTGTGCATATCTCATCTGAAGCAAGCTCTAACATGGATTTAAACAAATCCATGCCTTGATCTTTCAAAACAAAGCTCCAATTATAATCGGTTTTCGCCATCTTTTGGAATATCGAAATGGCGTAAAACCTAGCCTCTGCACTTCCTCTCTGAAGCATGATGGCCATTGATTTCACTGATTCCGGCTTTGACAACATCTGAATTGTCTTTGTTTCATCTTCTTCTGATAATAAGAGATGATGCAAAACACCTAGAGCTTCCTCAGAAGCTCTAAAAGCGATAAAATCCGAGGTTTCTGATAGAATTTGAATTACAATCCTAACAAGCAATTCAACCCCACCTGATTTCTTAACATGATCATGCATTTCATCGTCAGTTTCAACGATGGATCGGAGTTTCTTGAGAGAACTCACCTTGAATGGTGTCGACTCGATAGTGTTGAGGAGAGATACTAGCTCGTCGTGCTTGGGTGATGGTAGTGGTGAAGAAGAAGATTGAGAGAGGCTATTTTGCCATGCTAGGATGAGCCTCTTGAGAGTATGGTTTGGTGTGGTATCAAAATTATGAATGACTTGCATTGTGGTTGGGCATGTCGTCTTCTTGTAGGTAAAGAACCATTTTTCAATGTTCTTTCTCTCATATGTGAAGCCTGTTGAGATTGTCACAGGTTCTTTCATGATCTCCATTGAAATGGGACACCTGAAATCTTGAGGGAAATCCATGGTTTGATGTGGGTTGTTCTTTTCCTTCTTCTCCATTGTAGATGAAGATGGTGGGGAGTTGGGTAAACAAATTTATATTGTGTGTATGTAATGTATAAAGAAATGTGTGAAAGTCTAAAGATGGAAAAATTCAAAGTCAAAACTGATTAGATGCTTTTTTGCAAGCTGTGTGTGTAAACATGAAAGCAACTTGGATGATCATTGGAACTCTTGAATGTCTTTGATTTTAACGGTTTTATATTCAAAATACTTTTGTTGCCCCCATGTTATGTACTATATCTTTTTTTAACCCATGTTTTTATGTAAGTTTTCATATACACCATTTACCATGTTAGATAATGTCCAAGTGTTCATGTGGCATTATTTTGATATTACTCTCGGCAAATTAAAAATTACAATACATATTAAATAAGTAATGATTTATCTCTCAATTACCTAACAAATATCACTTTTGTGAAATTTATCTAGGTAAATTATAGTTTTATCTCATAAAGCTTGTGTCATTTCTCACTTTGGTTAATAAAGGGTTATCTCACGTTGGTCCCTAAACTATTTGTCATTGCGTAATTTAATCTAATTATCAATTTATGCGACTGTTTAGCAGCAATTTAAAAACTTTAATAATTAAGTTTATCGATTTTATCCATAAAAAATATTTATTTTCTCACTGTAGTTCTTAAATAAATTAAGTTTTGTCCACTTTTTCCATGAGTCCAAACCCAACCTAGACTCAAAATCATCTCCACTTATTCAAAAAAATTAAAAATTATATACGTCATTTGAAAAAGAAATAGTTCGCTAATCAAAGTCTAAATGCTACTGAAGCAGATCACATAGTGGGTTGGGAGAAAGAAAGTGGTTAGTTGTGAGGAAAATGAGGTGATCATTTGTGAAAAAGCAGTAAAAAGGGTACTTAAAAGAGAGAAGATAATGGGAGAGAAAGGAAAAATGAAGAGGGACTGAAAGTTCAAATGTTGTGAGACAACATTTTAGTAAATAATAGGGTAAATTATGATGGTAGTTTTTGTATTTTGGTTTTTGTGTCATGCTAGTCTTTATAATTTCAATTGGTTCAATTTTAATATTGAATTTATAATTTTGTCTCAATTCGATTCAATTGATTACAACTCTTAATAATTTTGTATGAAAAATACGCATATAAATAAGTGGCATGTGTCATATTTTTAGCAGCAAAATTAAAACTTACTCAACTCAGTGAGTTAATCTTAACCAATTCAGTAATAACTTTTCATAAAAAGCACTATCGACATTATTAATTGGATCAAATTGACAAAAAAATCTTAAATTAATGGTCAAATTTGAATCAATTGAAAGTGCAGGGATCCAAATGACATGAGAAGTAGAGACCACTGGTGTAATTTATTCTAAATAATATGACATGATTGGGAGAAATATATATATTTAGCTAATTTTTTTGGGGAGTTAAGTGGGAATATCTTCTTCTTTAAGAACCAAATTGGAAAAAGGCCCATACTTTAACACTATGTTTGGATTGAGTGATTTGGAGAGAAAAGAAAAGAAATGAAGAGATATGTATTTTTCTTTTTTGTTTGGATAACTTAAATGAAGAGAAATAGTGAGAAATGGAGAAAAACTAAGAGAACCCATGTATCTTATAATCCTCATTTTTAATCTTTCCAAAAGTGGAGAGATTGGGAGAAAAAGAAAATAACAGATTCTTATATTTTCATAATATCAATTTTGTCCCTGTAAAAATAAAATAAATAAAATGATTGACACCCATGTCCTCAAAGACTTTTCATATCCAGCAAAAGGTTGTTTTGGTAATATAACATAAAAATATTTATTTTATTTTCTCTTATGAAATCTAACCAAACAAAAAGGAGAGAAATTACAATCATTTCTTTTATTTTTTACTTATCTATATAAAAATAAGAGAAATCACAATCAAAATTTTTTTTTTCTTTTCTCTTATAACTTAAGTAATCATTTTTTTCTTTTATTTCCTAAGTTCCTGTAACAACCCCGGTCCGTAATTAAGGATGTTAATTAAGTGGTTAAAAAAGTTATGTGTTTATTATGTATTTTGTATGTTATTTGGGCCTTCAACCTGCTACTCGTAGTAATATCTATCATGATTTATGCTTTGATATGAATTTGATAGCCTAAATGGTTTCAGAAATTGAAATTGAGCACATGGATTGACTAATTAGAATTTTTGAAACCATCTGAGAAGTTTTGTAAAAACACTGATTCAGTTTAGTAAAATCGCATGTGATTAAATTAAGCCTTAATTGGAACTATTTTTGAATAATTGAATTTTGTACTAAACTTGACTAATTAAGGTTACTTGTGTTTGATTTAAATGATGCATGATTGGTACCTAATCTAATCCTATTAATGATCCAAGATGTGATTAAATGTATGATGTGCTAAGACATTTTGTAGTGTTGAGTGCAGGGGATTAAAACCCTTGTGTGTGTGTTGGAATTTTGCATGTGTGTGCACGTGTATTGTGCTCAAAGTGAGGTGTGTGTTGTGTTTATTCAGCTGAGTGAGGAAGTGTTGTATCATTCCTTTGCTCATGTGGCCCTTTGTGTAGAGAGAGAGAGAGAGAGAGAGAGAGAGAGAGTGCTCAAAGTTTGAAGAAGAAGAAGAAAACTAGGGAGATTCAACTCACATTTATGAAATTAAAGCTTTGGGTAAGGATTCTATATCTAATTTCTGTAGCAATTCCTCCATGCATCATGTATTAAGAAAATTATTGAATCACCTAATGAAATTTGAAATGAAGATGGGTTTTGAGCAAGAAAGTGGCTTGTGTGTATGTTTATGGAAGATTATACCTTGTTCATTCATGTTTTGGGTTTTGGTCTTGAAATCTTTGCATGGATGTGAGTTTTACTTGTCATCTTGCAGAGATTATCATGTTTAATGTTTCAGAAATTCATGAGTTTCTTGATCACCATTTGCATGTTATGAAAAACCATGAAAAAAGTTGAAATATTGCATGAAGGAATTTTGATTCAAATCTTTCAAGAATTGATGAGTTTTTGAATAAAACATGTTTCAAGAGTCTTGTATTGAAGTTTCCTAAAGCTATTTTATGTGTTTGATCAAACCATGCAAGACCCCAAGGTTTGAAGGTGGTTTGGAAGCCATTTATTATTAAGCTTGGTGCCCAGAAATTTACAGTTGGCTCGAGCAAAGAAGTGGTGGCTCGAGCCAACATTACGAGCTCTCAGAATTTTGAACTCTGCAGAAGCTGGCTCGAGCAAGCTCTGTTTTTGCCTTCTGCTGGCTCTAGCCAAGAAAAGCTGGCTCTAACCACCAACTTATTTTCAGCATGTTTTCAAAAGATATTTTAAGTACATATCTTCACTCCCATCTCTTTATGGGCATTCTTAGGCATGATTTATGAGCCGTTAAAGATTAAAAAGCTAAGAAACAACATAAGTGAATTAGAAAATATGTGTTGAATCTGAGTATATGAGCAATATGAACAAGTTATGTAGTATGGAATGAATGTGAAATTAAAGTGAGAAAACTAAGCCATGTATGGCCACATGAATGAGTAATAATGAGACATATTTTGTGCTATGTACATTTATGTTTGTAGGTTAAGACTCAAAGACTGACCAACTGTTTCTGGAAGTTCACTGTGAGTAACATTTCTGTAAAGATATGTTGATATGAATTATGTTCCAAACGGGTTATGATATGTTATGATTTCTGAAATGATATTGTTTACGTGAACGAATATCCCATGTTTGAAATCTATTATGACATCCATAGATAGTCCCAAGTCATGGGGGACGACATGTATATGCAGGTCCATGACATAAATGTGAATATGAGATCTTGTTAGCCACTTCATTGTGGTGATATGTGTTTAATCGGTATCCGGAACCGATTACTTTAGTCGGAAGACGATATGTAATATGTTCTATGAGATGTACCATTATGTTATGTTCTGATATGAGACTGATATGAATGATTGTGTCATGATTTGTTTTACGGATATGATATATTTAAAATTCGTTCACTAACCCCTTTACTTTAATGTTATTCACTGGCTCTAACTCACTATTTTTATATATATATTTATAGGTAAGCGTTCTGGATGGCAAGTGTAGGAGGGTTTTTATCGAGCCACTGTTTTGAAGCCTACCAAATGTTTTGGGTGCGTCCGAGTTGGGGCTAGGCCTGGAAGGCCGTTAGCAAGCTTTCGGTTATGTTGTACATTTTTGACCCGTACATCTATTTTTTTGTATAAGATATTGTGTTATATGTTATGTAATGTAAGTGGGTAAATTAACGATTTTACATGTGATTATTTGTTCATATAGATGCACAGCTCGTTGGACTATTGGTGTTTTGTTTATTACTTCCGCAAGCCCCACTTATTTTGATTATACAGGAAGGCCTTCGGTAATTCAAGGATTACTGGCCGGTTACGATGCTAAACCTATAGAGGCGGGTTTGGGTCGTGACAGTTCCCAAACATAGTGTCAGGGACAAAGTATAATTTATTATATTTTTGTTATAAAAATATAGTGGTCGTTAGAATTTGGATGAAAGTGTAAACAATATAATAGTATAGGGACTAAAATGAGAAAAAAAAATTTTAAGACCAAAGTAATAAAATGGGTCATACTTTAGAGGCAAAAGTATAATTTAGGCCTAGTTTGGCATAAACTAAAAAATTCAAAAAGTCACTATCCTATTTAAGTCACATTTAAGTCACATCATTTTATTTAAGTCGCATCATTTCTCTACCACATTACTTCAAACTCAACCTATACCCAACCTATATTTCATAAAAATTCAAAAAATACATTTATTTAGTCATCACAAACAACCCCTTACTCAATTTTCACTGGGTCATTCCTTTGGAGTGCAACATAAATAATATAACATAATATTCTAAAACTACAAAATAATTCCCCCAAATAGTGTAATGGGAATCGTTTTTCATTCATGAAAAATGAAAAAAAAAAAATATATATATAATTATAAATAATACGCGTTAATATGTGTTTGGAAGAGAAAAA